CATGTGCCTGGGCGGAATTATTCCTGTCTAAAGATCAAGTGCGAGGTAGATTATTTGTATTGTCGTGGTTGTGGAAGGTATCCTCATAGAAATAAAAAATAAAAATTGTATATGGTGTAGTATGTTGAGGTATAGAGCAGGGGTAGGTATAAATATAAAATGTGCACTCACACGGATTGGAGCCATAGGTATGGCTACAAGAATATCGTGTGTAGTGGTATGATCCCCGCTCAGGGATATAGATGTATATTGTAGTTCTCAGTAGGTATATATATGGAAGAGACAAATAAAACTACAATAGTGTACACCATAATATGGAGTGTAAAACACAATAAAGAAGATTAAAAAAAAAAAACCTACTGTCAGGATTACTAATTGATTGTATATCAAGAAAGTGATGTGAATAACATGCCCTCTTGTGTCTTACAGTAGAAGTGCAGCTCTAATATATAAGAAATAATTATTTACATGGGGAACATGAGAATAAACAATCTCTTATATAGTACTGTTGTGCTGACTACTTTAAATAAATTATCATTATTTAAATAGTATCCACATCCCTTTACATATATTATAAGATAACATTAAACAGCAAGTAATAGACAAACTGTCATGAATTTCCCTTCCATTTGGATGCCAACATGGCACACAAATAGATGCAATGCATTACTCTGATATCCGTTTTGACTCAGTTTGCTCCTTGTCCTGCCATGATCAGAGAGTGCAGGGCCGGACTGGGGATACGAAGCAGCCCTGGAAAAAAATCTATGCCAGCCCCATAGCCAGTCATTGTGCTATGTAGGGTGTTTTTTTATATATATATATATATATATATATATATATATATATATATATATATATAGTTTTTAGAAAAAAGTCAGCACTCAAGGACTTACAATGTACTTAAAAGAATTCAAAAAAACCTTTTAATCCAGTTGTTCAAAGAGGTCAACGTTTCAGTCCATCGTCGTGGACTTTCATCAGGACATAAATGACAAGACATAACATTCAGTTTAAATAAGAAAAAACTAACTTACCAAGCCGTTTCCACCTGTGTGCCGGCGTGGTCTGTTCCCCAGTGCGCATGCGTGTCACTCCGCTCATCTACTTCCGGTGTCAGAGTGCAACCTACCCGTCACCCTAGCCGGCGATTAGAGATGGTAGCACAGATAAACCGGTGGCCCGTCACTTCTTTGAACACAAACATCCACTTACAACATTGAAATGTATAGCCATTGACCACATTCCAATATCTAGGAGAGGAGGAAATCGCTCTAAGGCATTGTTGCAGAGAGAGACATTTTGGATTCGTGAATTAAATACTATGGCCCCTATGGGCCTTAATGAAAAATTGACATTCACATCGTTTATCTAAGTGGTTGGATGAATTTCCGTATTGATTTTATTAATTTTTTCTGTTTATAAACATATTTGCAGCACATATTCCCAGTGTATCTAATAGGGATTAAGATATAGGCATAAAAGAAGAATTTTTTTGAGATTTGTGTTTCACAAAATAATTTTTTAAGGAGGGTGGCTGTTTCCACTCCCTAGTATCTATCCATAATTGAATAGGGACACAATTATATATAAATAATATTTTGTCTCTAAATTTTGACACTTGGGGATAGTGCTGTTAAACAGTAGAACATATGTTATTATATTTGATGTTTAGGTAGTGATTATATATCATATAATACTGTAACCCCATAGCAATTAAGTGTGTTCACTTACTCAATCATTTGATAGAATGTATATATTTGCACCTGTCACTTTAACAAATCGTTACTGTCAGCACTTTTATTTTAAGCACTTGCACTTTCTGTATATGAGGTAAATTAATTTTTATTCTTTACCTCTCTTTATCACAATTTTTTAGTCTGTATTATGTTATGCACTTAGACAAATAGATCAATTGATCTTCACTGTATTAATGAGAATATGAGAATGTGAACAGTCAAACTGGCTATATTTGTTGCCAGTTTAATATGAACACTAAGATGACATCACAGCACTGGGCACTTTTAATATGCTATTACGGATCGCTGTTTCTAGCGATCTGTTTACAGGTTGCTAGGGTGACGGGTAGGTTGCACTCTGACACCGGAAGTAGATGAGCGAAGTGATACACACACGCATGCGCTGTTTCTAGCGATCTGTTTACAGGTTGCTAGGGTGACGGGTAGGTTGTACTCTGACACCGGAAGTAGATGAGCGTAGTGACACGCATGCGCACTGGGGAACAGACCACGCCGGCACACAGGTGGAAACGGCTTGGTAAGTTAGTTTTTTCTTATTTAAACTGAATGTTATGTCTTGTCATTTATGTCCTGATGAAAGTCCACGACGATGGACTGAAACGTTGACCTCTTTGAACAACTGGATTAAAAGGTTTTTTTTTTTTTTTGAATTCTTTTAAGTACATTGTAAGTCCTTGAGTGCTGACTTTTTTCTAAAAACTATACATTTGTGCAGCCGAGCACCGGGCAATTAGTAAGGAGAGCTGGAGTGCAACTCCTATCATTCTTTGTATATATATATATATATATATATATATATATATATATATGCAATTGAAATAGTTGGCTGCACTCTCCGATTTCCTGAAAATGTAACTTTTATTGAAATATTTAAGAGAAGATCAATGTTTCAATCCCTCTTGTGGACTTTCGTCATGATCCTGATGCAAGTCCACAAGAGGGACTGAAACGTTGATCTTCTCTTAAATATTTCAATAAAAGTATAATTTTAAGGAAATCCGAGAGTGCAGCCAACTATTTCAATTGCCTATATATATACTGGATACTGGAGCCCTGGTGATGCAACAATATATATATATATTTTTTTTATTATTGATACATTTCTTCTTCTAATTCAAAATATTAGTTATTTTAGGGTAATTAAATTATACAGTAAAGCATACTCACACACAGACAATCTTACTGATGCACACAAATAGGCTCATTGACAGACAATGACACACACAGACAAGGTTACTGGCGCACACACAAATTTTGTACAGACAAACTCTGATACACACACACAAGCTTACTATAGACAAGCTCACTGTCACACACACACGCTCACTACAGACAAGCTCACTGATGCGCACACACTCTCCCTACAGACAAGCCCATTGACACACACGCTCCCTACAGAAGAGCTCACTAACACACAGATTCACTACAGACAAGCTCACTGACACACACATGCTCACTACAGACAAGCTCACTGACACACATATGGTCACTACAGACAAGCTCACGATCACACTCATGCTTACTACAGACAAGCTCACTGTACACACATGCTCACCACAGACAGGCTCCGACACACCCATGCTCCTTACAGACAAGCTCACTAACACACACACACACATATGATCCCTACAGACAAGCTCACTGACACACATACAAGCTCACTCACTAGCATGCACACACCCACACATGCAAACTCACTAGCAGGCACACACACACACACACACACACAGAGGCTCCCTCACTAGCAGATGCGCACGCGCACACACACACACAGAGGCAGACAGTCACTGACACCCAGGCAGACAGCCACACACACACACAGGAAGACAGTCACTGACACCGAGGCAAACACCCAAACATACAAAGACAGGCAGACAGCCACACACATACACAGGCAGACAGCCACACACTCACACACACACACACACAGGCAGACAGTCACACACACACAGACAGTCACACACAGGTAGACAGTCACGCACACACAGGTAGACAGTCATGCACACACAGGCAGACAGTCACGCACACACACAGGCAGACAGTCACACACAGACAGTCACACACAGACAGTCACACACTCACAGACAGTCACACACTCACACACTCACAGACAGTCACACACTGAGTCAGACAGTCACACACAGTCACACACTCAGTCAGACAGTCACACACAGTCACACACTCACACAGAGAGTCACACACTCACACAGACAGTCACACAGACAGTCACACACTCACACAGTCACTCACACACAGTCAGTCACACACAGTCACACACTCAGTCAGACAGTTACACACAGTCACTCACTCACACAGACAGTCACACACTCACACAGACAGTCACTCACACACAGACAGTCACACACTCACACAGACAGTCACACACTCACAGGCAGTCACACACAGGCAGTCACACACAGACGGTCACACACTCACACAGACAGTCACACGCAGACAGTCACACACAGACAGTCACACACTCACACAGACAGTCACACACTCACAGGCAGTCACACACTCACAGGCAGTCACACAGAGACAGTCACACACTCACAGGCAGTCACCACAGACAGTCACACTCACACAGACGGTCACAGACAGTCACGCACACAGGAACAGTCACACACAGACAGTCACACACTCACACAGACACTCCACACTCACACAGGCAGTCACACACACAGTCACACTCACCACACACGGTCACACTCACACAGACAGTCACACAGACAGTCACACACAGGCAGTCACACACTCACACAGAGACAGTCACACACTCACAGGCAGTCACACACTCACAGGCAGTCACACACAGACAGTCACACACTCACACCGACAGTCACACACTCACACAGGCAGTCACACACAGACAGTCACACACTCACACAGACAGTCACAGACAGTCACACACAGACAGTCACACACTCACACAGACACTCACACAGACAGTCACACACTCACACAGGTAGTCACACACTCACAGACAGTCACACACTCACAGGCAGTCACACAGACAGTCACACACTCACACAGACACACTGACCTGCTTCTTACCTCCTGCTTGGAGCTCCTGGAGGCTTGTTGTTGGGGAAGCAGGGACTCCTTCCTGCTTCCCATGATGCAGTCAGCCAGGCCCCCGCCGCACAGTAAGCCCTGCTCCCGCCGCACGCTAAGCCCCGCCACCGCTAGCCCCGCCCCCGTTGCACGTAAGCTCCGCCCCTGCCACAAATTATTATTTTTTTATGATCCCGGCCGGCCATGTGTGAGCTGTGCCGGCTGCCTGGCTCCCCCTGCTCCAATGGGGCTCTGTGCGGCCGCACAGCTCACACATGGCCGGCCGGAATCACAGGAGCTGTCAGCCCAATGATTAGAGCTGCCAGACCGGCCCCAGGTGCCGCGGCCCACCGGGAAATTTCCCGGTATCCCGGTGGACCAGTCCGGCCCTGAGAGAGTGTGTTCCATTAGTGATTGATGTTTCTGGGTTTGACTTGGCTTTGTTCTTCTTATGTTCTAAACCAGGCATAGGCAACCTTCGGCACTCCAGAGTCCATGTTTTGGACTATACCTCCCATGATACTTTGCCAGCATTACGGGTGTAAGAGCATTATGGGGGATGTAGTCCACAACGTCTGGAGTGCCGAAGTTTGCATATCCTTGTTCTAAACTCTGATCTTCCTTGTTTTGATTTGCTCTTTGAACTTGTGCTTCTCTATAATACTTGACTCCATAAAAACATAGAATATGACAGCAGATAAGAACCATTCGGCCTATTTGGTCTGCCCAATTTTATAAATTCTCCGTCCTAATTCTGACTAATCTCTTTTATAATATTGCGTCTGGCTACTCCAAGTAGTGGTGATAAGTCTTTTGGTAGTTTTTGTTTGTCTTGCCCAGTGTTTGAGTGTTGGGGTATGCTCACCTTGACACTTAAAATAATATGGACAGAACCTTGAGATAAAGAGTGTACATGAATTAATTTGAGAACACTTCCCTGGTAGTAAAACCTCTGGCATTCAGAATGTGCAGACATGAAACAGGAGACCAATCCTGAATCAATATTCTGGCAAACAAGAAGAGAAAAGGTTAGTTTATATAGGAAGAGAATTAGCAAAGTAGGGCCAACTGAGAGCAGAGTGAGATCTAGATCTCTTCAAACTGAGTAGATCAGCCAGCAACAGCACCACAGCAAGTTAGTGGCAATGTAAGGTACTGCACCAAATTGAATAGACCAGTAAACATCATATACTTCACTCATAGTCCAATTGATCAACATAGCTTGTCCAACAAATCATACAGCAGAGCTCTCCTCCTCCGATCCACCCCGTTCCGCCCAGTCGGCTGGCGTGCTCTCACTGTGAAAATCACAGTGAGAAGCACGCATGCGCCTCTAGTGGCTGTCAATGAGACAGCCACTAGAGGCTTTGGGGGAAGGCTTAACCCATTAATAAACATAGCAGTTTATTATTTAAAGTAATGAAAAGGCCATGCTTATTTTAGGTTTATGTAACCTTTCCAAAAGCCATTTAATAAATGCAAAAATGCATCAGTCAGATCAGGGAAGCATGCTGTAGTATTTGTGGTGCTAGGATTGCCCTGGCACACTGCTAATGTAAGTAGTCCAAAGATTTTGGATCAGTTTGTCCTCCAGGCACTGCTCCCTGGTTGGGTGCATTATTGATCATTGTGGATGTCATGGAGCATGGAATCTGACCCTAGCACAGGTTCTAAACTGTCTACTGCAGTAACAGTGTCCCTTCTGCATATTTATGTCCCTTGTGGGGTCCACCAGGATTTGCACCCTGCCTCTCAAAGAATTGAAAGCAGAAAGAGACAATTCCATTTTAGTTGTACAGAAGGTGTTATATATACTATATGCAATGTTTTAGGTGTAATCTCTATAAAATTAGCCAAGGGCAGGTGTTTGTTAAATTGGAGGACTGCACATTCCTGAAGGTGTACATACAAATGGTGCTTCATTTTTACGTGTGCTAATTATGTCAAATTTAGCTGGAATTTAAGAAACTATTTTGTTTGCTTAATGTATAACATTTCATTGTGATTAAGCTATCAATAAATGCTCTCTTTCTCAAAAAAATAATAATATGATTTCACACCATAATGGAATCATTTTCCTCTATTCTCCATCCTCAGCAGCTGTTCTGACTTGCTCAGCATTCAATGATCAGATGTAGTGATTTAGCATTTCACTGATGTGCAATTCAGCTCTTTTGTATAGCACAGGTTGCTACAGTAATCAATAAATACCCTGAGCCTTACAGGCTTCAGTAAATTGCCCTTTTAGGATTAACAGAAAAGACTGTATAAACAGGAAGTAATTATGGAGACCTGTATGGCTTTTCCAACTAAAGGAGTCAAAATATCAAAATAAGACATGCAAAGGTATATTTCCAGAACCACCATCAAAAAGGGTACAGACAGTACTCTCTTATGAGGCTTGCTCAAAGAAGGGGTCCAATGGAGTAGGATGGATATTGCATATCTGGGTCAGGCCCATTACCTGAGAGCACTGACTGCTGTTTTAAACACCATGTCAGTGCTGGATGTGATTACAGATCACTCCCCACAACATACACACAGCCAATGGAGATGGAAACCTGTCCTTTGACAACTGCCCCAGAAAGCCAGCAACTAAAAATTAGGAAAACAAATGGGTGGCATAAAACATATTTGATATATATCTTGACAAGTGTGATATGGAGCATTTATGTGCATGTCTGGAAGTTTGTGTGTATCTGAGAGTGCATGTGTCAGACAGTGTGTGTGTATCTTTATGTATGTCTATATCTCTATACATAAAGCATGCAGACACTCTTCCCCTGTTTGAACCAAACATTCAAATAGGGGATGATACATGATCTAAACAACACTGTCAGTGGTTCCAGATGTGGTCGCTCCAGCATTTCAGAAACAATTAACCTCCTGGGATTTTCAACCACTACAGTCTTTAGAACAGGGGTGGTACTAAAAACGTTATAAATGTATACTAAAAGGTTTACAAAATATATCATGTATTCTAAAAATGTTGCAGGTGCACATCAAAATTGCATTTGTATAATACCATAAAATGACATGTATACTGAAAATTGTTGTATTATATGTATATATGTATGTACTTGTGTATATGTGCATGTTTGTCTGTATATGTATATGTATGTTGTACATAGGGGTTCATGAATATTCTGCACTCGGTTTTGAACTCATGCATTTTTAATATAAGCAATTATTTTTTCTTCTCTCCCCCTTCTAGCACCATATTCTGCACTGTTTGCTTTTTTTCACTCTCTCCTCCTAACTTTGTGATCCTCACACAAGACATTTATGACCCTCTGTGACAATGTTGTCTATTTTCTATCAGACGTGTGTCTTATGTGCACTCATGTCGCTTTAACCCCTGTATCACAGCTCAACTTTAAATTGTATGTATCGCCTTTGCTCAGAAATGCTTCAGACCTGATAAAAAGTGGTTCTCCCAAGAGACAAAATTCTTAGTCCACTAAAAAAGGTATCACAAGACACAAATTTAATTTGTTATTCAAAATATTAGTGTATTTCTAAACATTGTTATAATGTACAACAAAAAAAGAGAAACATAAACAGGACTATACATAGGACACAATGTAATGCATTTAGAATGGTAGACGTATATTTAGTCTAAGGCTGTTTTTTTTTTTACAGTAAGAACAATAAGGATGTGGAATTCTTTGCCTGAAGAGGTAGGGTTTTTTTTAAATGTATAATCTTTTATTATTTTTATAACATACATACATAATGTGCCTGTGTAGGTCATCTCTTGTACATAATTCGGGAAAAGAAAAATAAGGCACAGCATTTAACAAACAACATTAAATGTGTCCCTGTGGTATGGATCAAGGGGAGATAGAAGAGGCCCGGGCTTAATATGCTGCTAAAAAATAAAAGGAGTTAGATGTCAGATGGCTAAATTTATCTTATACAAATGGAAACAACCATTATATCATCACTATTCGTTTGATCCACTGCTCAAGTTCCCTGAAGAGGTAGTTTTATCAGCGTCTGTACAGATGTTTAAACAGCAATTGGATGAATACTTGAAAAAACAAAATATTCAGGAATAGAATTTTTAATTTGTGGGTAGTAGTTTCTTGATTCAAGGAGAGATCTGATTGCCCTTCGGGGGTCAAGAAGGAATTTTCCCCTAGTTTGTCGCAAAATTGGAAAGCACTTCAAACAGTTTTATTTTTTTTGGCCTTCTTTTGGATCATGAGCAAAAACAGATGTGAGAAAGGCTTAACTTGATGGACACAAGTCTCTTTTCAGCTATGTAACTATATAATATGTGTAATTAAAGGACCACTATAGTGCCAGGAAAACAAACTCGTTTTCCTGGCACTATATAGTCCTTAGGTTTCCCCCCTCCCGCTGGGCTGAAGGGGTTAAACCCCCTTCAGTTACTTACTTTAATCCAGCACCGGTGACCTCTCCTCCCCCTCCGACGTCAGCTCCCAAGTGGACCCAAATGCGCATGCACGGCCAGAGCCGCGGGTGCAGTCAAACCACCCATGGGAAAGCATTACTCAATGCTTTCATATGGACGCTGTGAGTTCTCAATGGGATTTTCGCATTGATCTTCGCGGAAGCGCTTCTAGTGGCTGTCAGGAAGACGGCCACTACAGTAGGTGTTGTGGTTTAAATTCAGCAGACAGCAATGTTTTCTCTCAGGTATGAAGACAAGGAATGGACACAGCAGAAATACGAGCTCGGAGGGCAGTACTCATTCACACAAGTGTATGGCAGAATACTACACCTAATTTTAGTGGGGAAAACACAGATCTTATAACAAAATTCTGTACACATCCAAAAGGGGTTGTCTTCACATAATACAGTCATGTCCTGTCAATTGCATATTCAAAGAACTTAAATCACATTTGGCATTAGCTGGTCAAAAGGTGTTACTTGATTAAACAAACACTTCCCAACAATGTGTTATCAGGATATGCAGTGCAGGGGGGAAAGAAGAAGAAGATACAAATCAGGATCAAAGGCCAGCTGTTATAATAGAGCATCCTGACATTACTCAATCAACTGTGTAGTGTGACACAGGTAAGGTGCTCATTAATCCATAGCAGTAGGCTTCCCCAAACTCCAGCCCTCCAGATGTTGCTGAACTACAACTCCCATGATTCACAGCCTATTTCATTCATAGAATCATGGGAGTTGTAGTTCAGCAACATCTGGAGAACCTGGCACACAGACCACTTCATTGAGCTGAAGTGGTCTGGGTGACTATAGTGGTTCTTTAAAAATCCCCTGAAATTGACAGCTATATTACTTAGGTGCCCTTGGAGATAA